AAAATATTCTTATATTTAGGCCAATATGTATTCTGCTACACATCTTTGATAAAAAAATTCCAATAACTGTGTATTAGTTGGTTTGTGTGAAATTTATAGCTTCTAAAAACGTGTGCGTGTGTGTGTGTGTGTGTAAGAAGTGGAATATTCTGCAATGGCTGAGTCAATCACCTGATCTCAACCCAATTGAGCATGCATTTCACTTACTGAAAGCAAAACTAAAGGCAGAAAGAATCACAAACACAGAACAACTGAAGGCAGCTGCCGTTAGAGCCTGGCAAAGCATCAGAAAGGAGGAAACCCAGTCTTTGGTCATGTCCATGGGTTCCAGGCTTCAGGAAAAGTATCAGAAAGGAGGAAACCCATGGGTCAGGTTTCAGGAAAAGTATCAGAAAGGAGGAAACCCAGTCTTTGGTCATTCCATGGGTCAGGCAAAGCATCAGAAAGGAGGAAACCTAGTCTTTGGTGTCCATGGGGATTCAGGCAAAGCATCAGAAAGGAGGAAACCCAGTCTTTGGTAATGTCCATGGGTTCCAGGATTCAGGCAAAGCATCAGAAAGGAGGAAACCCAGTCATTGGTAATGTCCATGGGTTCCAGACTTCAGGCAAAGCACCAGAAAGGAGGAAACCCAGTCTTTGGTCATGTCCATAGGTTCCAAACTTCAGGCAGACATTGCCAGTAAAGGATTCTCAACAAAATATTACAAATGAACATTTTATTTATGATTATATTCAATTGTCCAATTACTTTTGGTCCCTTGAAAAAGGGGGTATGGCTACTCTTAGGAGCTGTAATTCCTAAACCCTTCCTGCAATTTGGATGCACATACCCTCAAATTACACCTGAGAGTGTGCACTTTCAACCCATATCCATTATATAAATATAGATTGAGTATGTTTTGGCAAATATATATGGACCTAACTGTATACTGGAATTGTTTGTTTATATATATTTATAAATATATATATATATATATATATATATATACACACACACGGCGATCAGTGACCTATTGCGGGCATTCTGACACTGGGGGGGGGGGGGGGCTGACTAACTGCCGCTGACATCCCCAGTGACACCAATACAGTGATCGGTGCTAATAAAAAGCACTGACACTGTACTAATGACACTGGGCAGGAAGGGGTTCACATCTGGGGCAATCAAAAGGTTAACTGTGTGCTGGGTGTTTCACTGTAAGCACACTGTTATGCAGAGCCATACAAAGCAGCATGCAGCAGCTGATGGGAGAGAACTGTATTGTTTTACATACAGGTCTCTCCCTGTCAGTGATACTCGGCAATCGTTGGGTGCCGGTGGGGAATCACCGGCCTGGACCCGGTGATCAACAGCTGAGGCTGGCACTGGCGGCGCAGGTAGGGCGTGCGCGCCCCCTACCTGGAAATGCGAAATCACATGTGTGTGTATATATACGTGATTTTGCGCAGCCCTGTCGCCATGTAGCATTATTTCTGTTATAGGGTGGCAGGAAAGCGGTTATTTATTATATTTTCTACATTTATTTATTTGTTTTTTTTTTAAGATGGAAGACGCAAGAAGAACAATGTGAGATCCCAGCGAATGATCTCTCCAGATGGTGAGGTGGAGGAGAATGATGTCACATCCGATTCTTCGGAAGGAAGCCCCATTATCGTAAAGGTTGATCCAGCAATTCACAGCGCAGACCCGTCATCCGATCACAATCACCCCCACACTGTTGCTCATGCTGGGTGTGAAGCATCCCCGTGCGCTGAATGTTTAACAAAGAAAACTGAACGTAACTCGCGCCAAAGATCTATCGCAAGGGAGAGACCATATTCCTGTTCAAAGTGTGGGAAATGTTTCTCTTGCAAGTCCTACCTAATCATGCACGAAAAAATCCACACGGGGATAAAGTCCTATTCATGTCCTGACTGTGGTAAGTGTTTCTCTTGGAGGAGGACCCTGACCATACATAAACGAGTTCACACTGGAGAGCGGCCGTATTCCTGTACCGTGTGCGGGAGGTGTTTCAGGCAGAAGTCTGTTCTTGACCTCCATGAACTCACTCACCGGCCGGACAAGCCGTTCTCCTGCTCTGAATGCGGCAAGCGTTTTATCCAAAGAGGACAGCTGATCGCCCACATGAGATCTCACACGGGAGAGAAGCCTTACTCTTGTGAAGAGTGTGGGAAATGTTTTTTTTCAAAGTCGGGCCTTTTGAGGCACCAGAAGAGCCACACCGGGGAGAGGCCGTTCTCCTGTCCAGAATGTGGGAAGTCTTTTTCTCACCGAGCCAATCTGGTCCAACACCAAAGAGGCCACACGGGCGTGAAAACCGCACCTGTGCTCCGAGTGCGGGAGAGGCTTCAAAACGGAGGTCGCACCTGAAAGAGCACCAGAGAGTCCACACAGGCGACCGCCCCTACTCTGCTCCGAGTGCGGACGAGATTTTGCGAATCGCTCGGCTTTGATTAGGCACGAGAGACTCCACACCGGTCATCGGCCGTATTCCTGCTCCGAGTGCGATAAAGGCTTTACCAACAAGTCCGATCTGGTGAAGCATGAGCGAGTCCACTCTGGGGACCGCCCGTTTTTCCTGCTCAGAGTGAGGGGAGAGGTTTCGCCAGTAAGTCGGCCATGGTTAGACATGTGAAGGCCCACGCCGGTGAACTCCCATATTCATGTCCTCAGTGTGAAAAAACAGTTTTCCCATAAGTTCTCCCTTATGTCCCATCTTAGTTCCCACAAAGGACAAGAGGTTCCAGTTTCAGGAGGCGGAAGTTGAGCAACCATTTGGTCCTTGTTTAGGGGCTGCAGTGTCATGGCACAAGGTCCATATTTCTGTTATAACCGGGCCTGATGTGAAGAGAGCGCCGCTTCTTTGATTCTCACGTGGACCGTTCGCTGGCGGCAGGTGAACACTTTCTGCTCTGGCCAATTGGTTAGCTCCATGGACGCAACACAAACAGTATTGCATTTTAGGAAATCGAATATTGATTATTTTATGATATGCACAATAAACGTTTCATTTGTCAATGGGTTGCTCAAAAAGGGTGTAAAAAAAAAAAATAGTGAACAAAATTTGTATGTTGAGACTGTACTCAGAAATTGAAGAGGCTGATGGCTCCTGCCCATATGGAAGAAAAATATATTTGAAAAATATTCTTCCCAAACATATTGACATATATTTGAAAATATTTTCAATAAAAAATATCTATCGATACTATATATATATATATATATATATATATAATTATAGATATTATATATATATATATATATATAGATATATATATACACACACATATATAAAGATAGATAGTGATATTATATATATATATATATATATATATATATATATATAATGTCTCTCCCTCTCTCTCTCCCCCTCTCTCTCTCATGGGTTTTTAGTACAAAGTATATGAAAAAATAATTTTTAGAAATTAATTTCAAATATACTGTATGTCTTTAAAAATACAAAACTACATTTTCGGAATGCATTTACAAATATATGTTAAAATGACTTTTTTGGTATGTTAAAAAAAAAATCATTTTAACATATATTTTTACATATATTTGTAAATGCATTCCAAAAATGTAGTTTTGTATTTTTAAAGACTGACAGTATATTTGAAACGTATATTTTAAAAAATATTTTTCATATATTTTGTGTTGAGTCTGTTGAGTGATAAATATATTTAAAATACTACAATTTTGGCCATATTCAGTAAAATAATATATTTATCACTCAGCACACTATACACAAAAAAATATGAAAAATATTTTTAAAAATACGTTTCAGATATACTGTATGTCTTTAAATATACAAAACTACATTTTTCAAATTTTTTTATTTTTTTTAACATACAAAAAAAGTAATTTTAGCATATATTTGTAAATGCATTCCGAAAATGTAGTTTTGTATTTTTAAAGACATACAGTATATTTGAAATGTATTTTTAAAAATATTTTTCATATATTTTGTGTAGTGTTGAGTGATAAATATATATATAATTTTATTGAATACCGCCAAAATTGTACTATTTCAAATATGTCAATATATTTGGGAAGAATATTTTTAAAATATATTTTTCTTCTATGTGAGACGAAAAATACTTCTGACCAGCAGCACAGGTAGGCTAACCCCTTGCCCTCCAGAGGATCCCCCCCCCCCCCCCTTCCCCCCTCCCCCCCGCCCCGCCCCCCCCCGGCTCCCCCACCCACTTAGCTCCCTGGCGCTATGTCGCGACCTGACCAGGTCATTTTTTGCCTTATGGCTCTGCGTTTCGTTAACTGACAGTTGCACAGTCATGTAACGCTGCACTCAAATGAAATGGTTTTTTTTCCCACGAATAGAGCATTCTTTCAGTGGTATTTGATCGCCTGTTCCTTTTTCCCGAGTCATCTTCTAGGACAGCTCACTTGAGAGATAGGGCTCCTCCCAGGAAAACACCCGCTCCACCTTTTTTTTCCCCTTTATAGGCGTCCTCTCTCCCATTGGCCCCCAGTTTTAGTGTTTCCTCCGGCCAGGAAGGAGCTACGCCCGTTTTTTATTTTTTATCTGGGCTCTCTGGCGGAGTACAGAGGGTCCCTGGCTGGGGCCCCCCCCTTCCTCCAAGCAAGGCAGGGGCCTTGTGAGGGGGGGGGACCTTTCAGCCAGTTTCACCAGGGGATGCCCGTTGTGGGATGGGGGCGTCGGCCCCAGATGGTCCCAGCGGGGCTCTTCAGGGGGTAAAGCCCGCTCCGCCGACCCGAGGCATTGGTGCCTTTCCCTGGGGTTTCAGGTAAGTCTTACCTGCTCCTGGATCCCGTGCAGCATGGCCAGGAGGCTCGGTGCGGTGGGTCTGGACGCTGCGAATCGCGGTCACTTCCGGGCGCCGGGTGTCGTCACTTACCTGTCGCCGGATGTCGTCACTTCCGGCGCAGGAGCAGGGAACGGCCGCCGCCATCTTGGAAATGGGCGGCGGGCCGTGGACGTGGAACCCGTGCCAACGGCCGCTTTCCACCGGCGGCCGTGAGAGGGGGGTCGGCGAGGGGGGATCGCAGGGGGGGGCGGAGCCCACCTGCCCCTGAAAAAACCGTTTGCACCGAGGCAGAGTCTGCGGCGGCATGGAGGCAGATCTGTCAGGAGCGGGGGAGGCCTGCAGTAAGATGGGCCCACAGGAGGAGGATAGAGGGGAGAAAGAAGCTCCTTGTGAGCAGAAAAAGAAGTGTGCCACTTGTTAGGAAGAAACTGGCGAGCTCCTGGAGGAAGCAGCTCTGCCAGGGGTGCATAGACAAGCTCATCAAGAAGGAGTCTGGATCTCTTTTTAAAGACTTCCTACAGAATATGACGCAAGAGATGTCCAAGACATTTCAAAGCTTCAGAGAACAGAAGCCGGGACCGGCCCAGGATGAGCCCCAACCGGGTACTTCTGGCAACCAAGGGGGGAAAAAGAGGAAGCTGGTAGCGCCGGTAAGGGACTGGGAGGACGAACAGTCGGACACCTCAGACTCGGAGGGAGGGTGAGATTGAGGCTCAGGGCCCAAAGGCAGACAGGTTCCTTTTTCAGGTGGAAGACACGGAGGACCTGTTAAAGGTGATCTATGAGAACCCTGGGATCTGGAGGAAGAACAGCAGGACCTCTCCCTCCACGACCAACTGTACGCAGGGCTACAGGCAAAAAAGCAGCCGTACATTCCCAGTACACCCCTGCCCTATGGTCCACGATCAGGAGAGAATGGGAAAGAACCAGAGAAGAAGGCTTTCCCTTCCCAAGAACCTCAAGAGACGTTTCCCCTTTAAGGAGGAAGATGCCCTCGGGTTTGGGAGACTTGCCCAAAGCCAGACGCCCCTCTTCGAGGATCTCGAAGGACACGGATCTGTCCTTTGAAGACGGTGTGGGTGGGTCCCTAAAAGACCCGATGGATCGGGAAAGCGGACGCCTTCCTGAAGAGGCATGGGAAGCGTCCGCAGTGAATTTTAAACCTGCAGTGGCAACGACCTGCGTGTCCAGAACCCTGGATGTGTGGTTGGGGCAGCTCGCTCCGTTCGCATCTGGAACAAGGCACTCCGGGGGAAGAGATTCTGAAGTCCCTTCCGGTGCTGGAGAAAGCGGTAGCCTTCATCGCGGACAGCATCAGCAGAGACCATCAGACTCTCTGCTAGATTACAGCGATCATAAACAACACGCAAGGAGGGCTATCTGGCTGAAATCGTGGCAGGGGGATCTGGCCTCCAAATCTAAACTCTGTGGCCTGCCGTTTGAAGGTAAACTCCTTTTCGGCCCGGAGCTGAATTCAGTCCTGGAAAGGTCGGCCCGACAGGAAAAAGAGCTTCCCGGTCCCCCAGCAGCAGGTTGGACGGAAGGGGTTTCGCCCATCCAGGCGATACGCGTCAAGGGAAGCTAGGTTCCAAACCCAGCGCCCAGGCTGGGGCGCAAGAAGAGGCAGGAAACGAGCCGAGAGGCAGGGGAGGTTCCTTTTCAACCCCGGCCAGAATAGACCCAAAACCCAGCCGAAGTGACTGGAGAGGCCAGGTGGGAGCGAGACTGGGGCGCTTCCACGCACAATGGCTAAGGATAACCCAGAAAAACCTACATTCTGGAGGCCATCCACAGGGGGGTACAGAATAGAGTTCACAAGGGCCCCCCCCTCAGAGATTCTTTGCAACACCCCCTGCCAAAGGCAGGGGCTTTGGCGGATGCGCTGGTGGCCCTCCCTACAAAATATGCTCAGTCAGAACGTTATCTGCCAAGTTTGAGAGAAGAGGAAAGGGGAAGTGGATTCTTCTCCCATTTTTTTCTAAGGAAAAAACCGTCAGGTACTTACAGGATGATATTGAATTGCGGAAGGTGTAACGAGTTCGTGAGGCCCCAGCAAATTCCGTATGGAATCCATATACACGGTGAAGGAACTCCTTTCACCTGGGGTTTTCATGGCCTCGATAGATCTGCAAGACGCATACCTACATGTCCCGATAAGAGAAGATTCCAGGAGATTCCTGAGGTTTGCGCTGGAAGGAGAAAAGGGTCCGGTGCTATTTCAGTTCAACACACTCCCCTTCGGCCTGTCGTCGGCCCCGAGGATATTCACCAAGATTTTAGCGGAGCCTTTAAGAGTTTTGAGACTGGAAGGGATAAACATTATCCCCTATTTGGACGACCTGCTTGTATTTGCGGACACAGAGGGAGGCCTGAATCGCACTATCGAACGTACGATATCTTTTTTGGAAAGTCTGGGGTGGCTTATCAACAAGGAGAAGTCACAGCTAACCCCCTCCAAGAGGAATACGTACTTGGGGTACGTCCTGGACTCCCGCACAGGCCCGATCGTACCTAACATCAGAAAAAGCCCTCAACCTGCGGCAGGACACAAGGGCCCTCCGAGGATGTCGACCTGCACGGTCAGGACCGCAATGAGAAATAATCGGGCGGATGACAGCGGCAATTCCAGGGGTGCAATGGGCGCAACTTCACTCCAGGGTGCTGCAAAATCACACCCTTTCCCACTGGGACGGCAGCCGAGCAGGTCTGAGTTCC